TTCACTTAAATTTTCTTCGACCTTAAAAGGTAGTTTCTACTCCTTTATAGGGAATCGTTACTTCTGTTAAAGGTGGATGAATTGATTATATTTCTTCAATTTCTCTTCCTTTTGTGATTTTCCATTGTTTTGTTTTTGTTTGGACATTGGTTGTTTTTTCACTGTCAAACCATTGAAAGAAAGGTATAATAATAATAATAAATTTAAATATAATACATATTATTTAATATTAATAATTATTAATATTAATTTGATAGTATGGAATTCAAATTTGACTTTAAATTTGAATTGAAATGTTTTGGTTCATATTTGGAATATTGCTAATCTAAATATGGAATAAGTAGATTGCTATTCCATATTAGATTAAGGTTTTTAGTGTGTATTATTTAAGTGTAAGTAAAAATTAAATGATATAACTTTTGCAAAAATAAAAAACCCTACCCTCCCCCTCCCTCCCTCCCTCCCCTCCCCCTCCTCTTCTTTCTCACGTTTTCTTTCTAGGTGGAGAAGGGAATTTTCCCAAGAAAAATTCAGCATCCCTAATCCTTGTGTTCTTGATAGCACTTGAGACCACAAGGCGATCGCCCATCATGTCTTCGATCGCGTGGATACTGAAAGTGCACTCTTGGCTTAGAGTGGGAGCGATCTACATCACAAGAAAGAGCCTCCAAATGCATGTATAATTCTAGAATTTTTCCTTTTTGTACAAATAACGTAAATCTGATATAAGATCCTTGGCATCTATGTTGTTGTGTGGGGATTTAATTTTGTTTTTCCGCTGCATAAACCCCACCAACTTACAAGTATTTGTAAGCCTACCTAAGCATAGAAACCTGATAAAACAAAAGAAACTTTTAGGAATATTCAGAGTATTTTCAAGGAAATAATCAGGTTTAAATGAAATTGCATTGGAGAAGAGTTTATGTAGAAAAATATCTGGCCAATTCAAAGGGACAAGTGGCCAACAAGAAAACTTTATGGTTTCACCTTTATAAAAAGTTTATTCCAATTCTCTTGGGACCACAGCCCATTGTAAACAAACTTTCTAGCTTATTGTATAAATAATTGACAAGTGTTATGGACCACAAACAATATCTCATAAAGAGAATAAAAACAGCTCACAAGAATATTGAAATGTAGAATATGTTTAAACAAAAATATCTCCCAGATACGTGTGACCACTCAAACCCTTCGATGCTTACACGATATAACATAAAAACAACTTAATTGAAAGTGGTCACTTTGATAGAGAGTCGTCACACTAGAAATTTAAACTAAAACGATTGTGCTAAAATCAAAGTGAGGTGTTCATACCATGACTAGTGTTACCACACTAGAATCATAAGTTGGCAAATAACTTACACTAGTTGTGTCGTGGTGTAGGTTTATGGCACCGTGGCACAAATTGGTTCTGTCGAAGCACAGATCGCCAGAAGTTGCGCCGTAGTGCCATAAAACTGCAGCCCGATGCCATTTAAGCATAATGCAAAAATACTCATTTCCAACCTTGATTTGCCTTTCCAATTATTACAAAAATGCCCTTACTTATAAAAAACTATAAAAGGGCAACTTATTTCATATTTTAGGTATTCTAAACTTTGTAAACATTTGGGTTAACTTGGAGAAGGGGTTTTGAGAGACAAGGAACAAATCTTTGATTTTTGTTGTGGATTTATGATCCAAATGCTTATGGGTAAAATTAAGGATTGTTTTCTTGTAATTATGAGTAGCTAAACTCTTATCTAGTGTATCCAATGAAGCCTAATTTGAATACTCTATATTTTTAATCTAAGTTACTTGTTTAATCAAGTCAATACAATCTTAGTGTCATTCATTGTTGTTTATTCAATCTTTAATTGTTATTATTGCTTAATCATCTTTGATAAACAATTAATTGATTGTATAAGTCAATGTTAGACTATACGCCCTAGTTAATTTTGAATATCTCTTGTGAATGAATGGTTTATATTTGTACATATGGCTTGATAGATATAAATTGGTTTGTGAACTTTGAGGTACTCATAGTCTTAATGGGTTTCAGTAATTAGACTAAAATATACGCCCTACCTAGTTTAGTGATGGAAGCACTAGATTAGTCCTTAACGCCTTATGGTAATACCTTAATTTGGCGTGTATCGACCCTAGGATGTGAATTGAGAAAGCAATAGTTAGATTTTTGGCATAAAGTAAGATAATTACAGTGAAATTGGATACCTAGACCTTTGTCCATTTGATTCTCAGTCGTTTTATTGCTGTTTTTCTTTTAATTGGTAATTTTAGTTATTTTACTATTATTTTAGGATTATTAGTTAATTAATTTTGTTACTTTATGTGGTTGATGCATGTTATTAAATTAATTGATAGCTTACAATTCTCTGTGGGATTGACCCTTGCTTTCGTACACTATACTGCGATAGCGATTTGTGCACTTGCGAAGAATAGAATTTGTCTATCGGTTGTCCTCTAAGCCAATGGTTGAAGAAGTTCCTAATTGTACTATGGAATTGGGATATGTGAGGATTGTCTACATGGAAAACAAAATCGAGTGAGTTTTCAGTCAATTAGTACAAGGGCAAGGGGGATTTTAAATTTAATTCGCAATGATGTGTTTGGACCTACTCCTGCTATGGTGATTCATCTCGACTCTACAACTGCTTCATCATAACTCTGCAATTACTTCATCAGTGAATAAAGAGGTACGTGTAAATCTCCCTACTTATTTTCATTTTTATAAGCCTGGAAAATTATTGTTATTGCGGTCAGAAGAAATTAGAACTTTCTGCAATTTTTAATTGCTTGTGTTGTTCAACTTGTTGCACCTGTCTTGGGGATTCTGTCAAAGTTTTCGGCCCAGGATGCTAGCGAAGGAACTATTCATGAATTGTTTCATCTGTTTCAATTTAGATTCCTTCATGTTAATTGTTTCCAGTTTTGTCTTCTTTAATTTCATTTATTTATTTATTTTTTATTTTTATTTTTTTGGTATCAGATGGTGCAAAGAGATTTTATTTTATATCTTGATTCATGTTAATCATCTTTGCCCTCGGTGATGCTTTAGAATTATTCCAATGTACAAAATTCGAAAGAACAATTTATTTGATTAAGAAAGAAATTCTTATAGAAGGAACTGTCTTTAAAGACTGAGGACCAGGAAATGACTTCCCAGAACAGGGCGTGATTTCACCAAAATTCTGCAAAAAATTTAATATCCATGTTAAAACATAATTAAATGATTTTAGCTAGTGCTAGAAAATCATATATGTGCAACAATAGTGACTCCCTGTACGGCTGTACCAATCCCCTGGGGCAAAATAAAATATAAATAATTTAAAACTAATGTAAAATTACACAATTTTTTTATGGAAGATCCTACATTTATAACTTTTTCTTAAAACATTTTCTCACAACCTTAACGTGATAGTTCGCAATTGATCAGTTTGCAATGAGAACTAACCAATTATGAGCTGTCACATTAAAGATTCTGAAAGAAAGTTTGTGAAAAAAGGTTGTAGATCAAACATTACTCGTTTTTTATTGGGTACTTTTCTGGGACAATTATTCTAAACCTTCAGATATTGAAAACAAAGGATGAATCCCTACCACACTGCATATATATACACAAGACTTTAAAACATAAACACCCTTCAAATTTAGTGTAAGTGACAATTTGACTTAGAATTCTAAACAAGTGACATTACAAGCCCAAATGTTATAATATAGTAATATTTTCATCCAAAAAATAACCACTGTTAGCCTAATCCATTATTTAACACACAAGATCTGATAAAAAGACCCTTTTGATTTATCAGATTATAAATAAAACAAACAAAACAATAATTAGATATAAAAAACCCTGGGCCGGTTTGGTGCAGTTCTCAGCTTTGGTCCTGTTGGTGATGGCTTTTCTTTCTTCTTGGGCCATGTGCTGGCAGTGGAGGGGTCTTTCGGCCTTGTAGTTGGTTGCTTGTATAGCTTCTAAAGTTTTGCCTTTATTTTGCTAAGGCCTGGTTTCTTTTTGGGCTTTGCTTGCAGAGAATTGTACATCCTTTTGTCTTTGGACCTTTTTTTGGTTGAGCTCTTGGGTCTTTGTTTAGTTTGAACTTTGAAGGGGAGCTCCCTCTTGTAGGGTGTTTTTTTTTTTTTTTTTTTTTTTTTTTTTTTTTTTTTTATACAATTATCGTTTTATCTGAATAAAAAATCCAAAAAAGTATTTCACAAAAAGTATTTTTTATCCAACTAAATTAAAATAATAAGTATTGCATTTAGAAAAAGGAAATTTTTAATTACAAATTTTTTTTAAGGATATAATAACTAAAATTAATAATAAAAAATGCAAATTATAAATTATAAATTTAAGAAATATAATAAAAAATCTTTAAAAAAAAAAAAAAAAGGTGTACTTTATTAGATAAATTATTTGTTTACTTTGTCCCTTAGTTACCCATGATTAATTTTGCTATCATATGATACAAAAAAGATAAATTCTTATTTTTAATATATGATTAAATTTCAATGCATTTTCAACTTCACCCCTTCATCTAATAGAGTAAGCTAATGATAGTTACTTCTGGATGAAAATATTACTATATTACAACGTTTGGGCTTGTAATGTCACTTGTTTAAACCTCTGGGTCTACCTGTCACTTACATTAAACCTAAAGGGTGTTTATGTTCTAAAGCCTATGTACACAAGTATCAACTAGGGTGCAGGGTTTTCACTAAATAACTTATGCTAAGAGCAAGAGTTTGAGAGTTCGAATGGTTAATGAAGTTAAAATCTTGGTGGTTTTTCCTGTTATGCTTTGAGATATTTGTACTGCAACCATATGTCTAAAGATCTGTATTAAGCTGTCATTGAGTTTATTCACTCATGCATTTAACCATTATAACCTAAGCATTTGTAAAATATCATAAAAAGAGTAATACTAACCTTACAAAGAGGTATACAAAGAGACAAATCCAACCCTTAAAATCTCTAGAGGAGTTTCTGGTAGCATAGCTTATGCAGCATCAATAAGATCGAGATACACTTTATCAATAGAAGCCCTCTCACAACGACCGTTCCTTGAAAGAAAAGACTGCAAATTTGATCAAAGTTGTCATAAGATAACTTTTCAATAAAATTTAATGATCCATTCAAATTGCATTTTAAATCCATATACCTCTAAACCCACAATGCATTCCGATATGTAATCAGATCAGCTTTACCGTGGGCTACAGGGACTTGGACTAGCTCAATTTGCGGACAAACTTCCTCTGCCTCAACACCTCTCATTGAACGGAAAATCAAGCACAAGATATTTGAATCTAATGCATTTCTGGAAAGTAATTTGTCACCAAATAAAAAGTTCCTCAGAAAGTAACTAAACCTTACTTACCACTTTACACCATATTTCCGGGCCTCAAAGCTAACAGCTATCAGGGCCCCATCTTTCCACTCATTGAACTGCACCATAGCAGAAGGTAAACCCCTTAAATGCGGTTGCTTTCTCTGCTCCACTGCATTGAAAAATATCACATTTTCAGAGCAGAACAAGCTACAGCATAACTAATGCAAGGAAATAAGAACAGAAAGACATATAAGTTTACAAACAGAAGAGCATTTTCTGAAAAACAAAGTAAATAATCATTGTTAGAATCCAAAGATAGAAAATACACCTTCAATACTGTAACTTCATTATCACTATCAGTAGCAATTCTTACAAGTCAAATGCATTAACTAATCGTCAATCTTCAAAAAGTAGTTTCTTTTTCCAATTATTCAACCATCAATAACGTTATTCCAGAGAATTATCGAAGTTTAGTTGTTTAAAGATTTTAATTGAAATATGAGTTATTTCGTCGTGGATTCCAGACTTTTTGTTTGTGGATTTGAGCCGCTAGGCTACAGCATATGTAATGCCTACCTTACTTCACAAACAAAATTCAATTCAACTGAAAATACACAACGAAAAGCCAGAATTTACTCCTAAACAGTGAACTTATTCTCTAGAAGTCATCAAAATTTCATCGAACTCAAAACAAACAGTGATTTTCTCAATTACACATCCATTAAAATACAAAGAGAGAGAGAGAGAGAGAATTGGAAGGACCTTGAACGTAGAAGCAGTCCATGTCGACGTGACCGATGATTCTGGCATCAGAAGATTGTGGTTTCGCCACTGGCATTTCTTTTCCCTCCACTTGCTCAGACGAAATAAAAGCGAGAGCGAAAGGGAAAGAAGTCCCTCCTATTACTTTATATAAAGGGTAATTTAATTACCTCCTCTAAGGTTTGAGTAAGTAAATTGGACCCCATATTTTTCAAAATATTTTTATTACTCACTAATTTCATAATTTTACAGAGACACCCCTGATTTTCTCAAAACTTCTCTTTGGTTTAGTCTTCTTCTTTCTCCTGTCCTTCCTTTGCCATGGCTGGAAACGAACCCGATTGGAGTAGACTTTGTAAAGAACTTTTCTTCTCCATTGTCAAACTTCGAACTCAGGATGTGGGTAAGTGTATCTGATGAGTTTGACGTTAGTAAATTAATGAAGTGTCTACTTCTGCAAATGGGAAGAAGTTTTGTCTCGTCTTGGATGATGTGTGGTCTGAAAGTCATGTTAATTGGAATGATTTGAGGGAATTATTGATAAATTGTGCTACTGGAAGTGAAACTGTGGTTACTACATGTAGTAATCAAGTTGCCTCAATAATAGGCACTGTTCCTGCATATGTCTTGAAAGGTCTTTCTCCTGAGGATTTTATGCCGTCGTTTGTGAAATCGGCTTTTAAAGAAGGGGTAGTGAGAACTTTAGGGAGCGTACTTTATCAAAATATATGTAAGCATGATTGGATGTTGATAAAAGATTCTGACAAATTGAGGCTACTAGAACAGGGGACAGGTTACATCCTGCCATGTTGAAATTAAGTTACGATCATTTGCCAAGTCACTTGCAACGATGTTTTGCATATTGTTCATTATTTAACAGTAATTACCTAGTCCATTATTGGATGGAGTTTGGTTTTCTTGCATCCCCTAACAAAAACGAAGAGTTGGAAGATGTTGGATTGCGATATCTGAAGGAATTACTTCAAGGTGTTTCTTTCAAGATATTGAAGATCACGATTTATTGCTTCATTTTTAAAATGCATGACCATGTACAGGATCTTGCAATATTGCCCAAATTGTTCGACCCTTCTCATTTATTGACACTCAACATTCTAAGAAAGTTGCAGAACTCATAAAGAACTTAAGAGCTACTCGGACCATTTGTTTCCAAGTTTACAGTCCAAGAATGTTACTCAATCCTTCGTTAGTAATTGCATATCAAATTCTAAATACCTCCGGCCATTATGATTAAATGGTCTTCGATTCGAGGAGCTGCCAGACTCAGCCTCTTCATTGAAATATTTGAGATGTCTTATCTTCAAACTTCATCATGGAGGAGCTTCCAGAGTCAATTTCTAAGCTCTATATGTTGCAAACTTTGAGACTTCGTGGACGTTCAAGCTTGAAGAAGTTACCTACCAATATGCAGTACATGATTATACGGCCAAAAATTGTATTGAGCCTGATTAGGCTTAATAACGAAATAAACATATTACGACCCATTGCCTTAACCTAATTCTAATTGGGCCTACGTTTAAATCCACTCTATGAATCTTACAAGTTAAGCTAAATCGGGCTCCAGCCCATTAGCCCACTTTCGTCCCAAAATAGGAATCAGAGAGTTGAGTTATCTTACCAGTTAAGCTAAATCGGGTTCCAGCCTATTAGCTCACTTTTGTCCCAAAATAGGAATCAGAATCCTGTCAACTTCTTAATTCATTCAAGATCTAATATCTTACATGAATTAATATTCTTGAACTGATAAAGGCAAGAAACAAGTTCCTTCTTAATTCGGACTCGCATGCCAAATAGAACTCAAAGTTCTACTATGATTCAAGCTCTCTTGAGCTCCTATATAAACAGAGCTCAAGCCTCTCATTATGCATGCACAAATAGCTAAAGCTTTAGCTCCTAAATTCTTGTTCTAAAAAATCGTCGTCTTTCCTCACTGTAAAGTTTAGTTCCAACTAACTTTACCACCCTTTGTCTTCGCAAAGTTGTGTTCCAACTACTTTGTGTTAGTCTTGCCCTAACCACATTACGGTAAACCCTTTCCTCCTCTCAGCCCTCACCCCCTCTCAACACCTCACTAAACTTGTCTTCAATCGTGCTGACTTGGCCTTCAATCGTGTTAATTTGAGCGTCGGAGTGCCTATGGCAAATAACATACCGGTGTCCCCAAAGCCTTCATGTTCATTCTTTCTCTCTTTGTAAATTCATACGATTGTCAATGGCTCGCTTCTTATAAGATTCATCCCTTCCGAATCAACCATAGATTTTATCGTCTACAATGACTGACCTCAAATATTTGGAAATCACTACAAAAGAGAGGCGTTTACCAAAAAAGGGAATTGAATTTTTGTGCTATCTTCGACATTTGCACTAAAGCGACTGCCACCATCTGGTAACTTTGCCTGACAAAATGCAGAGTTTCAGCAGCCTCAAGACATTGATTCTACAGGGTTGTTACAGCTTAATCTCATTGCATCTTGGTATCAAACATCTAAAGAGATTGGAGAAGATGGTGATATACAATTGTCCGGAGCTTAATCTAAAGATTGATTTACAAGGCGAGGAAGAAGAACAGTGCTTGAATAATCTGAATAATTTTTATTTTTTGTAATTCCTTGATTGATGATTCTGAATAATCTTGAAATAAAATATAGCTGAGTGTAGATAGCTTTTTCTAGTACTTTTTGTCAAACAATGTGATATGCATAACTACTTTAATTACAAATCCTGCATAGAAGCTCACGATGATTGGAACAATCTTTTATTTATGATTCGTATACAACTACTTTACTAATCAGAAAGAAGAGAAATGAAAATTCTATACAGTATTCATCAATTACAAATTATATTATTTCAAAGACATTAGCTAATCCTTAAATGAGAATTCCACATCGGATAGAAATGAGTTAAGTCTCGGCTCATAACTCTCTTTAGTCCATAAAATTGTGGTGTAGACAAAGAAGTAGAAGAATTGATGAGAAGGAAGTGGAACTTAACTTGCTCATTGCTCCTTTTAGTCCATAAAATTGTAGGGTATAATCCCCTCTATTTAGTAGCGGTTGCTGCTCTATCGGCCAAGCCAAGTTTATCAACTGTGCTTCTGTTGTAGTTTAGGTCCTGAATAATTGAATATTGATAACAATGATAAGTACAATGAACCCTTTTGAGCTTTGATCGATGCGCAAGCTTAGGCCTTTTTCAACGCTCCAGCCTATGGTTTCCCATTGGTATTGGCCCAAATCATGAGTTTTTAATAACTCGAACGAGCCGATTTGATGGACCCTGGTTGTTTGTATTTTAGCTCACCCTTAAATTATACTTGCATTTTGTTTTCTCCAAAATTTTTGAAAACATCAATAATTTTTGTAAGAGACGAGCCATATCACGCCATATCACAAAGGGATTTATATGATGTAATAATTAATAATATTATAGTTACAAAAAAATCTTATAATGATTTTTATATAAAATAAGGTGACAAAAAATTAATGGAAGAGTGAAACAAAAAGTCAAACTTATTATATTCACTTTTCTATTCATCTTTTGTCACATTACTTTGTATGAATATTTTTTGTAAGATTTCTTTGTAAGTGCAACATTACTCCACAATAATTAATTGATATAATAATCTATTTTGTAATAAAACAAATCCAACCAATTATTGGTTAAATTTTAGATGTAATTGACAAGATTTTTCGCAAGTGTACGAAATCTGTTGGTTTGTGAAACGATGCCGTCTTAAATATAAAAGGCTGCACAGAAACGTTGCCATTTCAACTAAAGAACAAGCTATGAAGAACTAAAAACACAGTCGTCTCAGCTCCAGTCTTTACTAAAATAAGTGTTGGCTTCTCTGTTGCAAAATAGAAATCAGTTCTTTCTCTATAACCTCACTGTAACTAATTCTGTTTCTTCAGTTCAGCAGCTCACTATATAAGCTTGCTTGTAACAAGATTCTGTTATTAATCAAAACTGAAACAAAGTAAAGTTTTCGTTGCTCTGTTTTCTCTCATCTCCGTTTCTATTTCTGTTTGTTTAAGCTCTCTCTCTCAAAGTTCCACAAAATCGTTAAAGTAATATAGTAAGAAAATAAGGATATTGAACCCTAGAGAATGACTATTTACCAATTACCAAATTTGATTATTCCTATTTCTATTTGATTAGTTGAGAATTGATTGAATGAGGAAACTAAAAATAACAATTTTTTAAACAGAACAAAGAAAACAAATCACAAATAAGAAAGGAAGCTAATTGTAAAACAATATGCCAAAACTTAAGCTATAGACTTCACACCAATTTACTTTTATGTCTTAATAAATCATACTATCATTGTCAAGCCTTTACAAGGACCAAATTTTCAGAAATTCCAATAGTTTCTCTCGAACAATTATCGGATTAATCATCTATTGCCAACTCAAGATATCTCTAAATTGAATTTAGTTCTTAAAGGATCATTAAGCCTTTTGGAAATTAATACAAGTCTCACAAGTTATGTCTAGTGTATCTACTATTCACTCAACAGATGGTGTTTATTAATTAGACTAACTAAATTTCATCTCTCGATCTCAATCTAATTTATTAGATCAATCAACTCTCAATACCAAAATAATTAGAGGTAATAGGAAAATAATAAAAACTTTGAAAAGAATTGCTCAACAAAATTCAACATTAATCCATCAAAACATAAAAATAAATTGAGCTATATCGTAGCCTTTAATTTAGTTCATAACTAAATGAAAGGAAACAACAATTGAAAAATTGAAAGACATGAGTTCTAGAGAGGAATAAAAGAAAACATCTCCATTCATGATCCAAAGCTCCAAAGAGTAGATACTTTTATCTTCAAAAATTTAGCTAGTCTCCTTTCTTTCTCTCTACTTCCACGTCCCTAAAAATTGTTAAACTCATCAATATAGAGTGCAAGCTTCTAGGGCCAATTCTGGAACAATAAAACCCAGCAAAGACCCTAGGTTCGTTTTTCTTTCCTTTTTTCCACATGGGGAGCATGAGATTTTGAATGCTGCAGTGCGCCCTTAAACCAGGGACGGCAAAAAAAAAAAAAAAAAGCCGAGTGCTCCACCACAGCTGAACATTTTTAATGCTGTGGCACGTAAAGATGTCCAAAATGGAGGATGATAACTCCCGAATATGGCAAAGTCATGAACATATATGAATTGTAACCCTTGGAGTAAACTTTTTAATGCTTCAAGAATAGTCTAAATTTGAGATCTACAACTAAAATTATTATAAAAATATTGAAGCATGTTCCAACACTCACGATTCATACTTAAATCTTCTTGTTTTATTCAAAATCTAATAAAATCACAAAACAAAACAAAACAAAAATGAGAATAATCCATTGAAATTAAGACCTAAAAAGCAAATAAATAAGTAATAAACGCATGAAATAAGCATCCACATTCAAGCCCATCAGTAATAAGTTTGTAACTTTTCCGGGAACCTTATAAACATTGGGTTATCATAATCATCTATGCGGTTATGACCCATTTATTGCAACGATACTTTGTTTTTTCATTATTTTACTTGTTCCTGAAATTGTATATATGGTTATTGTATTTTATAGTCGTTTTGAAAAGCTTTTAATATTTTTTACATTGACTAATATTAATATGTTATGAATTAGTTTGCATTACGTATAAGTTGAAGTTTGTAAAAATAATTTTTTTTAAACTAATATTATGTCTATTTTAACAATTACGCGCACAAAGCACTTTAAAAACACACATACACTGATACAAGCAGATGTATATACAAATTCTGAAGTCACAGCTTATTATTTC